TGACTTTGTTGGACTCATGAGTTGGGAGTTTTCATCATTCTTTGAAAAATTTTGGCTAATATTTGGAGAAATATTTTTTCCTCCAAATATTTTCTCCGCTTCTTCTAGTACTCTACAATATTTGTTATATTGCTTGATACCACCTCACAGGTTATTGCATCTGTTTTTTTCAATCTTTTATTTCTTTGCTCTTCAATTTGATTTTCTTTTAACCTGTCTTCAAGCTCACTGATTCTTTCTTCTGCAGTGTTTAATCTTCTAAGCTCACTCATGAAACTAGTTTTCAAATTATCATTTCCCTCCTGAATTTCCCCAATCTTTATTCTATGTATCTATCCTTTCCTACAGATTCTTTAACATATTTATAATTAATTTTTTTTAGTGAGAGAATTTTTACAAATTTATTTGAACCAAACTGATGACACATGCCAAAGAGGAAGATGTCCAATGCTCACTTCTAATTCTTATTCAATTTCAACATCTTGGTTTCTGTGGGTGTTTCTATTTCTTTCTTGATTATGGGTCATATATTCCTGTTTTCTTTTATGTCACCTGATTTGTGATTGTATACTCAACATTCTGAGTGACTCATTGTAGAGACTCTGGACTCAGTTATTTTTTTCCAAGAAACCTGTTGGGTTTTGTTTTAGTAGGCAGTTAAATTACTAGCAGATCACCTTGATTCTTTACAGGTTTGGTTTTAGGCTTTATTAGAGTGGATCTATTGTAGTTATGTTCTTAGTCCTAGGGCCTAGAACTGAGTTTTGAGATGTGGTCCTAATTCTAAGGGAGTATGGCCTTTTAGGTATTTTCCTTTCTTTTCCTCTTTTTAAAAATTTTCCCTTGCCCGGCCGGGTGTGGCTCAGCGGTTAAGCGTCGACCTAGGATCCAGGCGATCAGGGTTCGATTCCCAGTCAGGGCACATGCCCGGGTTGCGGGCTGCAGCAGATCAATGACTCTCTCATCATTGATGTTTCTGTCTCTCTCTCTCCCTCTCCCTTCCTCGCTCTGGAATCAATAAAGATATGTTTAAATAAATAAATAAATATAAAAATTTTCCCTTATTGTTGAAAGTATTACAGGTGTCCCATTTTTCCCCCCAATTGACCCCCTCCATCTTGCTCCACCCTCTGCCCAGGTCTTCACCCCATTATTGACTATGTCCACGGGTTATGCATATATGCATATAACTTCTTTGGTAAATTTCTTCCCCCTCTCCACCCCCTTTCCCTCTTTCCTCTGAATCTATTTAGTTTGTCAGATTCTTTTGTTCATTCGCTTCTTCGTAAAGAAGACCCTTCAACATTTCCTAGAGTGCCAGTCTGGTGGTGATGAACTCCTTTAGTCTTTTCTTATCTGTGAAGCTCTTTATTTGACCTTCAATTCTAAATGATAGCTTTGCTGGATAGCCCAATCTTGGTGGTAGGTCCTTGTTTTCCATCATTTTGAATATTTCTTGCCACTCCCTTCCGGCCTGCAAAGTTTCTGTTGAGAAATCAGCTGACAGTCGTATGGGTGCTCCCTTGTAGGTAACTAATTGCTTTTCTCTTGCTGCTTTTAAGATTCTCTGTCTTTAACCTTTGGCATTTTAATTATGATGTGTCTTGCTGTGGGCCTCTTTGGGTTGGTCTTGTTTGGGACCCTCTGTGCTTCCTGGACTTGTAAGTCGATTTCTTTCCCCAGGTAGGGGAAGTTTTCTCCAATTATTTTTTGAAATAGGTTTTCAATTTCTTGCTCTCTTTCTTCCCCTCCTGGCACTCCAATAATACAAACGTTGGGCTGCTTGAAGTTGTCCCAGAGGTTCCTTATGCTATTTTCATATTTCTGGATTCAGTTTGCTGTTCTGGTTGGGTGTTTTTTGTTTCCTTATGTTCCAAATTGCTGATTTGATTCTCAGCGTCCTCTACTGTTGACTCCCTGTAAATTATTCTTCATTTCAGTTGGTGTAGCCTTCATTTCAAATTGGTACTTTATTATGTCATCGATGGTCTCAGTTTTTCTTCGTAATATACTTGAGCATCCTTATTACCAAAATTCTGAGCTTGGCTCCATTTCATTTAGTTCCTTTTCTAGAGATTTCTTCTGTTCTTTCATTTGTGACATGTTTCTTTGCATCCACATTTTGGCTGCTTCCAGGTGTTTGTTTCTATGTATTAGGTAGAGCTACTATGTCTCCTGGAATTTGTAGAGTGCCTTTGTGTAGTAGGTGTCCTATAGGGTCCAGTGGCTCAACCTCCCCAGTCACCTGAACTGGGCCTTCTAGGTGCTCCCCTGTGTGGGCTGTGTGCACTGTCCTGTTGCTGTCTCTTATACACATCTAGATGTGTATAAGAGACAGCNTTGTAGTTGAGCATTGGTTGCTGTTGGCATCACTGGGAGGAATTGACCCACCCTGGTCAACTGGCTGTGAGGAACAGCTGCAACTACAGCCAAAGAGCTGCTGTGCTGGAGACACCCCTATGGAGCAGGATTTACTTCAGTGGAGCTTTGGTGTTCACCAAGTCTGCCCCTTGAGTGTGTCACTTGTGGATGTGGTAGGGTTGTAATCCAGCGTGGTCCAGTCTGACCAACAGGTGCACTGTCTCTGGGGCCTCCCAGGAGGTACAAAGTCAGCCTCTGCCAGTGCCTTGCCCAGGGCCACCCAGCATGAGCTACACAGCAAACTATAGAAGGCTGCTACTTGTGCTGGGCTTGGAGGTGTCTAGGAGAGGCCAAGCTATGAGCCAATGCAGGCTGCCACTAGTGCAGGCCTGGGGCCCCTCATCAAGCTGTATGGGGCACGCTGCTGCTTGAGAGATTTTAGGAAAGTCCTAAGCATGAGGCTCGAGAGGCCACTTGCACAGAAAAGCCCCTGGAAATGGCCTGGATGAGCTGCAGGNGATGAACTTGCAAGTAGGGAGGGGCGGGGCCTCCAGGAATCACAGGGCAGGGCCAAAGGTGTGGGTCATGTGCTGGCAATTCAAATACGGCGCCTGCCTGCTGGCTCTGTTGGGGGAGGACTCACGAAAGGAGCAATGGCCTCTGCCAGCTCTTTTGTCTGGGAGAAAGCTTCTCCTCCACCTCTTGCCCTGATTTCAGGCAAGTTAGTTCCTCCCCAAGTGTCCCAAGTTCCTTTCAAGCTGCAGCCTGGCACTGGGGCTCAGAGGGAGCACGTCTGAGTGAGTTCATGTGCGGGCCCCTTAAGAGGAGCTGCCTGGGGCTCCCACAGCCTCTGTGACCCTCAGCCACAGTCCCCACTGGTTTTCACAACCCGAAGTTGTGGGGATTTCTCTTCCTGGCCCTAGAGCCCTGGGCTGGGGAGCCTGATATGGGGCTGGGAGCCCTCCTCTGGGAAACCTCCACCGCCGAGATGTCCCTCCTGGGTTTAACCCAGGGCACCGGGTTGGGCCCCCAGCTGTGACTCCGCGATTCAGCCCCGATATGCCCATGTCTCTGCCCCTGCTACTGGTCTCGGTGCTTCTTCAGTTCCCTGGTTGTAGGGCTTCTGTTCAGCTAGATTTCAGGAGACTCTGAGTGATGGTGGTTCTGTGTTTTAATTGTAATTTTGATGTGGTTGCGGGAGGTGGCAGGTGCAACTGTTACCTCAACTGCCCTTTAGGTTTTCAACAGAAAGCCTGAAACATTTACCAAGCCTCTCTGATTTGGTGGGACATAAATTTCAAACTTTTACTCCCCAGCACCAGGCATTTGCTGAAATCTCTACTGAGATTTGCAGCCTTCTGGTTTTTGCTTTCTGTTGGGCCTCTTGGAATCCTGCCCCGTTCATCCCTAATCTGGAGAGTCAATAAAGAATTTGTGGGGAGTATGTAAGACAAATTCAAGGCTCTGTGGTTTCTTTCTTTCTGGGATTTCCCCTAATTGTCAGCTGCTCAGACAGTCCCAAACTCTGACTTAGCTCCTCAGCCCAGTAAGACTGCCACTCTTTTAATTTGCTGTGGCTCATATAAGGAATGGTCACTTTAATGCAGATCGTATCCAATGTATTTCTCTTCCGTGCTTGAAGCCCCTCCAGTTTTTGCCTGTCTCTGATCACTTTCCAGGGCATTTCAACGGTGTAAGCAATTGTTGGCAGGAGTAATGGTCTGATACAAGATGCTCTTGCCATTACTGTTGGCCAGACTGTAATCAGATGTCTACATGTTATTTAAGATAAAATAAAATCCAACTTCCTTTCATTTCTTTATCTGGGTGATGGTTACATAAGTGTGTTCGCTTTGAAAATCTATCAAGGTGCATGTTTAGGTACTTGTGTCTACATTTGCTCCAAGTCAATAAAAGAAGTTTATTATAAGAAAAAAATTTCACGTTGGCACATACTGTAAAACCCCTCACCCCGGAACCTCTCTCCTGGCCATGACTCTGGCCACATATGCTCACTTATAACTCCCTAAATGAGCTAAACCAGCTCTTGCTCCTTCCTCCATCACCTCCCTGACCTACATGGGTAACTCCTACTTACTCCCCAGGCTTCAATTTAAACATCATCTCCTTGTAGAAGCTTTTCCTGACCACCAAACCCCTCTTCAACTACACCTTAGGTGCCCTCTACTGTGTTCTCACATCCACAAGGTCCCCCTCCACAACCTGAAACTCAGTAAGAGAACTCATTACACTAGCTGGCAGTGTCCAGTGAGAACCTGTCAGGAGGGACCACATCTTCAACTCCAAATATAGTCCCAGAGTGGAAGCTCAGGGATTTGGAAAATGGACAAAAGCCCATGCCATCGTTTCTGTTATGGTTAGTGCTGCTGGGGCAGCTTGCCTGCCAGATCCTACCTGGGACAATTCTCCAAGGCTGGGGACCTAGAAGAGGCATGGCCACTATCCTGAGACTCCAGAAAACTGGCTGCAGCTGGACCCAGCTCCATCACCAGATAAGATGTTCAGCTAAAGCTCTCCTTCCTACCTGGGCCTGCTCCTTCTGTCAGATACAGGCTGGAACTTGGAGCTCTGACCATCTGCCCTTCCTAAACTTAAAAGCTGAAGGACAGACCAGACAGTTTCCAGAAGAGAAGGAGAAGTTTATTGTATTGAGCAGACCTTATTTTCATTACAGTAGCAAGAAATTCATTCACATTTCACTTCAGGTGCAGAGGGCTCTGCAGACATTCAGAGCCCCAATGCTTGTTCCCAAGCAAGGGCAGCACCTGGTCCTATGCTGCATTTAGTGGAACAGAATTACAGTAAAATAGAATAGTTTTTTTATAAAGAAGGGGGGGGAGATGTTTAAATACATAGGTGAGTTTTTTTAACATTTTCTCCGTTTTTCCATGTTTACACTGTTACCAAGGATTACTGGTTGGAAAACATGGTACTTGATAATCTTCTCCTCAAATTGTTGACCTTAGGTTAATGTATTCTGACACTTTCATTTTGAAGAGGAATTATGCCCAATTCTCTGGAAATCTAAATTGTGACAAGTAAGGCAATACATAAATTACAGATAGGATGAAGGCCTTAGCTCATACCCTAACCTGTATCCTGCTCAATTTAAATCTTCCACATTTGGCCTCTGTGTTGCTAAATAATTGGGAAAGACTCAGGAGATGGCGTTCTGCTTCCAAAATCATCACCATGGAGTTTAAACTTTATGAACTATTTCTAGAGAGCATGCAGCAGCTTTTGTGGTTGTTTTTATACTGTGAGGGGAGGGATCCTCTACTTAGTGCGCTGATTTACTGCCACCCAGAAGCATTCTTTCTGTATTAGATCAAGAGATCAAAGATCAAATAATGAAAGAGATCAATACTCTCCAGGTACTCTGAAATACCAATGATAACACGAGTCAATGACTCTAACAGGCCTGGATTCAATCACGTAATTACCAAAGTCCTGATAAGGTCTTTCCTCACTACACGAAGGCAGGGAAAACATGAATTTAAATTAAAAATGCTATCCCACCAAACTAGACACATGACAGCTATATGTAAGTTGATTCACTCCAATTATTCCCCAAATTTTCCCCCAAAAATCAAATATTTAAAAAACTAATTATAAAAAAATCACACAACGGCATGTGTATTTAAATAACACCCTCCATTTGTGTTACCAAGGAAAAGTTTCCATTAGGTGGCCTTACCAAAACATTTCCATTTCCATGAATTGGAAATTCCTCCCTATCACTGGGGCCAGTCTCTTGGAAAAATTGTGCTGCCATCCCTAGCTTTCAGCACTTCATCTGGGATAATTAGTCCCTGCAACCAGATTAAAGTTGTTCATTCAGGCAAAGCCTTAACAAGGTTCATGATGTGAGGAATTATGAGAACAGCAGAATAAATTAAGGTCCATTCTTAGAAACTATTTCTTAGTATATGTAAAATCTTTGTTCTTCCAAGAGCTGAATTCACACATACTGGACCTACTGCGATACATGCACACTCAGTGGGTAGGCAAACGTCTGTCTGCTTCCCTTTGAAATGCCACATTTTGACAGATCTGACACTTTTATCAATCTTATAAAAAGCGAACATGCCACCATTCTCAGTGTGGTAGTATTGAATACAAGTTTAAAACAAAATAGGCATGCCCCCATAGCCCCAGCAGCAGGCTGTGTGCACGGGCTTAGATCTCAGTCAAAATCCACTGTTCATGGAACATAAAAAGTCACATTATTTTATATCATTCTGGCGCTCATTCAAAAGAAAATTCTCCATTATAGCATGAGAGAGAGAAAAAAAAAACCATTACATACAAATGGTTAAAAACAATGCACTATGAACAGTTTCCAGAAACTTAAATGTTTCACTGCAATCAATTCTTGTGTCTTGGAAAAGAACATCTTATCTATCTTTTCAGTCACTATTTGCTTTCATACAGTAGAGTCAACAGACAAAGTTGACCAAGACTGAATTTTAGTGGTAACACCATTTCCTAGGGCAGGAGTGGGGAACCTTTTTTCTGCCAAGGGCCATTTGGATATTTACATCATTCGCAGGCGATACAAAATTATCAACTTAAAAATTAGCCTGCTCTATTTGGCCAAACACTTAAGGAACTCACCTCTAATGTGATGGCTGAACTGCTGCTCTTTGGTGAGGCCTTGGCAGGGCCAGACCAAATGATTTTGTGGGCCTGACGTTCCCCATCCGTCCTACGGCATCAGAGGTTCATTTTGAAAGATGCTTATGCCACATGAATCAAGAATTATTGGCAAGAGAAGAAGGGCCCTAGGCCATTTCAGAAGTAAGCTGGGTCTGGCATATTTAGATTCAAATATTAATAAGATCTTGTTTGGGGTGGTGACAGATAGGGGCAATGAGGACACACATGCCACACAGAGAACAGATTTCATACTGTGCTGTCCTCACATGGAACATGCACAAGAGACCTGGTACAAGGACATGGAGAAAGGTGATCTGGTTCATGTCCCAAGGGAACCAGAATTAAAAAGCATATCCCAATGACTAGTATTTCCCGCTCAATCTCCCAGAAAATGAATTGGAAAAATGCACAATTCTGCCCACAGCTGTAGACAGAAGTGGCAGTAGCAGAATCCTTGGGGAAGCTTAAATAAATCTATGGTGAAGCTGAATAAGCGTTTCTTACTCTCACTGATTCCCTTCAGCTGCTCTGACTCGTGAGGACCTGGGCAGTAGGGACTCAAGTTGCAACCTTCATCAACAGCAATGATTCTGAGGGACACTTTCAGTCTTGGGTCAATTTATCTAAAAATCTTTTCATCCCCCTTCCCCAATGTTTAATGGAATTATAAAAGCAAACTCGAAAGCTCCATCACAGTGCCTGAGAGACTTGATATTTGTCATAAGACTGATTTTTTTTAAAAAGACTGCAAACTAGTACGTTGTTACCTGGCTTAGATGGGGAGAACTTAGCTGTCCATCTGCACCTTCTCCTATCTTTAAAAAGCAGGCCAACAGGAGAGCCCATGGCTGGGCTCCTGCTGCTGCTCCCTGCAGCTGGGGAGATGAAGGGGAGGGCCTGGAACCTCACCCACACAGGCCAGCAACACACCGGAAGTCTCCTCGTGGGAGCCTCCCAGCACTGCCCTCTCACGAGGACAGGCTGCTCCAAAAGGCCTTTCGGAGCTGCTGAAGTGAACACAAAAAAAGCAATGACTAAAGGGCTTACGTGGCTTCGTGATACACCTATGGAGCGTCAGGATGGGTGGACTGCTGAATTTCTGCAAGCCAAAGGCCACCCACAGCACTAAACTAAAAGGAGTGGAACAATGTCTAAAAAATATGAATTACACAGTCCAAACTTCTCCTGGTCTCAGGTGTTGGAGTCTTTTGTAGAGAAAAGTAAAAGCCAACTTCCCTGTGTCTGAGAGAAAAGCCCTCTGAGGAGGAGAAGGAAAGGACAAAGTGACCTTCCTGAGGTAGCCCTGAGCCTCCTGACATGCCACTAGAGGGCTTGCTATGGCTGTATCCAGTAAGGAAATCAATAACAACATTTGTTTAGAAAGAGGGAAAAAAGCAAATATTTTCACAGATACAAAATTTGTTTACAAAATAATTACCTAAAATATTCAGTGAAGCTGGGTGGAGAATAAGAGTAATGTTTCATTTCAAATTAGTGACAGTGGTACTGCTGATGGTTTACAAAAGACAACAGCCAATTCCTGGTCTTCCTCACCTCCCACGGCAACACCCCAGAGCCCTCCTACCCGATATTTCCATACCCTCACCCCAACCCACCCTCATTCTGTCCCAATTAACTTGTCCCAAGCCAACCCTAAAGACACACAATTGCTGGTTGGGTCTCAGTTCAACCCTGAACTAAAGCCGGGGAGAAGAACACAGGAAGGGCACAGGTGCACTGGCATAAACCTCGAGGTGTGCAGACCTTGGACGAAGCTCCGGATGGCCCATCTCAAAGTGGAACCTACACACAGCTCAGGCTGCAGTGAGCTTGCTGCCAAGTCAGCAGAGGCAAGAACAACATGGCAGTTGTGATGGGTCTGCTCCCTGACAGTGTGGCACGTGTGTACTCTTCGGTGGGGCACACAGGACTTGTTTTCCTCCCACTGCCTTTGCCATTTTCCCTTCTGGTTAGAAGAATGCTCTTTACAGAGTCCCCAAAGATCAGCCACCGGTCTTCCTCTGAGGCACAAATCCAAGAGAGCCTTAACTCCAAAGACTCAGAGCCGCCATGTGGAGGAGTCAAAGACAAACGCTCAGCATCAAAAGGATCTGGGCAGCCGCCCAGCCAAGTCACCAGCAGTTGTATAGACAGATCAGAAAAAACTAGAGTTCAATATAAAAAGTGTTTTCAAATGGTGCAGCTTCCTATCCTTCTCTGTAGGTCATAACTCTTCACGAGTCTGAGGTCCTGTAGAAGAAGAGAACCATTGAAGAGAAAGTGGACTGTCTTCAAGTTATGAAAACATAGACGGGCATTCTCTAGTGCTGTGACCTATCATCTATGCCCACACTTCCATTTCATCTCTCTTTTCAAATTTTTAGAAACTTTGGTTTGATGTGTTTGAAAGCAAAAACAAAATGAAAAAAGACATTTTTATTTTTATAATGAAACTACCTGCATATCCCTATTTAATGGGAACTGTTTTCAAAGTATAGCATTTACTTCCAGTAAAATGCACTTTTTTAGTCAGGAGTCTTCCTTTTTCATTTAATGCCACGTAAACATTTTCCTATGTAGCTCCTTCACCATTCTCTACGGATGTTTAAGCTGTTTTCAATGCTTTTGGTTTATAAATATTTGTAAAATAATTTCTCCATGCATATAACTTTTTTCTTCTGTTGAATTATTTCTTTAAGGTAAATTCACAACAGAGAAATTATTGAGGTCTAACATTTTAACTACCCTGATGACTGATCACTGCTTTCTAACAAGGATGCTGTAATACACAGGGGGACCCGGGCAGCTTCACTGCCTTCTCCCAACAACGGCCTCATCAGTATGAGTATCTTTTCTGTGCAGTATATATTAATGATTCCTTTAATCTCATTAATTTCCTCAAATTCGTTTATTATTTATGTTTTCCTCTTACTTGAACAGTATTATCTACATTCTTTGCCCATCTATGGAAACCCTTAAGGTTTTTACTAATGAATCTGAATTAATTATTTTTATGCTAAATATCCAACCTTTCAGCTGTGACATTGAATATCATGATATAATCTTCAGGATGTTTGGGTGAATCACTCAAGATCCATGTTCTGTAATTGTTTTTTCAAAATTAGTTTTGAGCTGAATAAATGTTAAAATCCAGAACTCGGCTTATTAATAGTTTACAAAAGATCACTTTTGTACTCTAATGATTTTTTTCAAATGGCTAGCATTCGATATATATACACAGGAGCAAAAGCATTACATGAAGACTTAGTCCTTCCTATTCTTATCCCAAATTAAATACAAACACAGTTGTCGATCCTAAATGTGTTCACTCACTAATCCCTGGACAGATTTAACGAAAAACCAAGGAATCTAGCAAGAGGCTGCAATACAATGTCAGGTTTGGCTTCTGTATCACAAAACTCATGAACCTAAATGACAATAACCATAAGGAAAGCATCCTGTCTCGAAAACAAAGACGCAGACAAGCAAAAGAAACAAGAGAAGAGGAAGAAAGGAAGGGGAAGCCGCTGCCCTGGTCACGCCTACGGTCTGCCAGGCCCAGCTGGAAGAGGGAGTGGGAAATACACCAGATGGCATCAGGACCAAGTCCATTCATTATTCTGTTGTTTTTGCAACAAACAGAAATCAGAACTGCAAAGGACTTCCCCAAGGCCAGCCTGTCTCACCTTGGCGTGGCTCCTGTGTCATCTCCTCACCCTGGGCTGCCCTTTCCTTCTCCTTCTGAAAGCGGACCTGCAGCTGTTTGAGCTCTTGGTCGTAGTCTTGCCACTCTGGGACGATTCGAACAGCTGCTTCCAGCTTGGGCTCTTTGGTCATTGGATTATTACACTGTGAAAACCAAAAAATAATGTACTTCCACTGAGTTAAAGAAAGGGGACATTATATAGAATTCAAAGGCATTTTTGTTTCAAGTCCTAACTGGACAAAAGGAACACTAAGGAACCAAATGACAGATGAGCAGAAACAAAAATAGTCCCTTCACTGACTGCAAATAGTGAACACAGCCCGGTCAGACGCGAGAAGATTAGCTTTCTGCTGAGAGCAAGAGAGAACTGCCCACATATAAGTGAGGGGGGTGGGGGGAGAAGTTAACCAAAGAGTTTATATGCATAAATGCATCACCCATAGACACAGACAATAGAGTGGTGAAGGCCTGGGGCACGGGTGGGGGTGGGGTAGAAGGGGTCAATGGGAAAAAAGGAGACATCTGTAATTCTTTCAACAATAAAGATAAATATATTTAAAAAAAAAAAGACCTGCTCACTGTAAGATGTTCTACGGTCCCTACACTACACAGCAGCAGAGAAAGACTACATGAGACTCCGTGTATTAACAACTATCTAGTTACACCCCCCCCACACACACACACATGCAGAAAGGAAGTGCAGACAGCTTCTTACCAAGTCAATCGTTTTTGCCCTCTTCTTAGAGGCGTCATCACACCACGTTTCACACCAAAGCCATTCTTGAGGCAGTGATTTAATTGGCACCTGATGGATCATGTTATTGGGCAAATCCTATTTGGTAAAAAAAAAAACAAAAACAATAAAAAACACAACAATCTAAAGTTTTGGGGAAAATTTAAATAAATGCATAGCAAAGTAGTGATGCTAGCTGCTTATTACATAGCACATGCCAGCCACAAATTTTTAGAACTGAAAGGGAGCTTACCATAAACCTTAGAGAAGCCAAAATACTTATTTATGGTGTTTTTAAAAACCACAAGGTTGCCCGGACAGCATGGCTGAGTGGTTGAGTATTGACCGATGATCCAGGAGATCACGGTTTGATTCCAAGCCAGGGCACATGCCATTGAGATAGAAAGGAAAAAACAAAAAACCAGGAAAACTAAACTACAGTTTTTAAGAATACAAGTTTAATATGTCTGTATAGTACTTCAGAATGCTGGACTCTCTTGTTAGAGAAGAGGAGTCGCTTCTGGGATGCTAGTCATGATCTCTTTCTTGAACTAGGTGGTGGTATATGGGCATCAGCTTTGTGGTAATTTATTGATGATATGAATATGTATATATTTATATATTTTTGTTTTGTACACTTTTCTTTAGGGGTGCTATACATCATAACAAAGGCTTAAATATGTTTAAAGTAGACTTTATTTATTTTTTTAATTTACTGATTTGAGAGAGAGAGATCAATTTGTTGTTCCTTTTCAGAGAGAGTAGAAGAGAAAGAGAGAGAGAAGCATCGAGTGAGAGAACACACAGATTGGTTGCCTCCTGCACATGCCCCAACCGGCACCAGGGATTAAGCCTGCAACCGAGGTACATGCCCTTGGCCGGAATCGAACCAGGACCCTTCAGTCCAAGGGCCAACGCGCTAACCACTGAGAAAAACCAGCCAGGGCTAAGGTAGACTTTTAAGTAAAACAAAATATGTGAAACTACCTACAACATCTAAACTATAATCTCACCTCTGAAAATTGTCTAGAATTAATAAACAATATTAAGTTCAGCTAAACTTTTTAAAAACTATGGTTTCTGACATAGAAAACGGGATATTGCGATACTATATTCTATATTGTGCCTCCTGAGCTAGTTAGCGCCTAAAGAAAAGGAACAAATTGACCCTAGTAGGCAGAGAAACAAATTTACCATATTAGCTTGGGTACAAAATGTAGAGATGTAGTAATGGTTCAGAGAGGCAGCACCTCTTTTCCATTTCCCTTCCCAAGCCAACGTCAGGCCATGACATTTTTTCACTAGAGCATCTTGTCATGAGGACAGATAAAAATGTCACACACACAGACACAAAATTCTTTCCCTTGAAGAAACAAAGCACTATCCCAACAGATGAGAGAACTGGGAAGCAAATAATACTTCATTTTCTTACACAACATTGTGTATCCATCACTGAAAGTGTTAACCAAAAAAATAGGCACTTACTTGATCAAGATTTGAAAGACTGTTTGGATCCTGACTCAGACCTTGGTACTGTCCCCTGAGTCTGTCACCAGCAGCTATTTTCCTGAACTTCTTCAGATCAACAACATACAATGCACTGGAGAGAGAAGATCCATTTGTTATAACCATGGATTATGGCAGGAAAAGTAACCCCACTGAATACCAGAACAGGTCACTAGGCAAACATTCTGGCCTCTCTTTGAAAAGGTAAGCTGAGGCCCGATGGTGGACCTCAGGGTCAGTATATGCTACTCCAAAGACACTAAGAAAATTATTACAAAACCCATATTCTACCACCACACACTCAGTTTGTCACTGTTCCTTATTTAATTGCCTTCCAAAAGATATAACTTAGTCTCTGACAAAAGATTTCTAGCAAATGGCAGCAGATTAGGTAACAAAGCTATAGTAACTGTTGAATAACCACTGGCGAAAGACACCCTGATGAGGTACAAAAGTTGCGGGTGGAAGAAAAACAAGTGGTACCATTCTTTTGGACCAAAACCAAAGTTTAATACTAAAACCATGATAGCCCAAAACTTATCTCTGTACATGCTGCTTCCTGCAAGTACCCCTACTCTCCCAATCTTCCAAATCATACTCTGCCCAGAGAAGATAATGTAGGGCTCATTAGGAAAGCATCAAATCCATACATGGTTTGACCTAGGACTTATACTTCTAGGACTATACTGAAATATACAAAATAATGTATTTAATTATTCAGTGCAGTAAAGTATGTCATAGCAAAAGACCGTAAATATAATAACTACTGGAATGATCCACAGATGTAAAAAGGAATAAGGTCTCTCTCTACATATATCTACTTGAGATATTAAGTAAAAAAAGAACAAGGTATAAAACTATAAATAGGATGGTATATTTTGTGCAAAAGAGAAGTCATAGTTGTTTATGTATGAATTAAGAAATTCGCCTGGCCAGGCTTGGCTCAGGATCCAGGAGATCATGGTTTGATTCCCGGTCGGGGCACATGCCCAGGCTGCGGGCTCGATCTCCAGCAGGGGGCGTGCAGAAGGCAGCAGATCAATGACTCTCTCATCACTGATGTTTCTCTCTCTCCCTCTCCCTTCCTTCCTCTCTCTGAAATCAATAAAGATATATTAAAAAAAAGAATTAAGAAATTCTTTGGGACATACAGTAAGTTAACAGAGGAGGTTATCTGCTGTGGGATGAAAACTAGGTAGAAGAGAGACAGGACTGAGAGGATTTTTTTTCACTGCATAGTTTTTTATATTTTTTATTTATGAACCATATTAATGTATTACCTATTCAGTATTAAATACACAAAATTAATTTAAATAAAATAAAAACAGTGTTACCAGCAGTCTTTTTCAGTACCTGATATGATACTTGCGCCCAGCTAAGTGACTGGCCCAGTACCCTGATTTCCAGAACCTGTAGCCATCCATTTCTTTTCGGCTGTCACAGAAAGGAGTATAACCATAAGGGGCACCATCCAAATTGAAATCTCTTAACTCTTTCAGATCTGTTCGTACGATCTGGAGAAAAGATCACAAGTCATCTGTTAAACAACCATGCAGGCAGCAGTTTCCTGAAGATACAGAGCACCTCACTGAAGGCATCCTGGAGGGCACTCAGTGGTCCAGCAGGAGACCCAGTCTACACCTGATGCTTCCACTGATCAGCTGACTGTCTCGGCTTCACTAAGTGAGCAGTGAGACACTTAGGGTAGTGCTGGACACACAGAAAGAGTAGAAATAAACAAATGTATATTGTGTAGCCTCTCTGTGCCTCAGTTTCCTCATCTGTAAAACAGGGATCTCACAGGGCTGTTGGAAGGTTTATGTGAATGAATATATGGACACATGAGAAACAATGCCTACTTTTAGTTTGCATGTGAAATGAATTCAGATAAAAAACTGCACACATGATGTAATGACAACGATGTAAAGAGGCATAGAAGAAAATATAAAAAGGAGATACATCAAATGCAAATTTTAAAAGTGATCACATCTAGGTGATACTTTTCCAAGTATTCTAAATAATGTAAAAAAAGCATGTATTTTTCCATAGCTGGGAAAAAAAGTAGTTCAAAATGGAAAAGGAAGTCTAATGCCTTTAATACAAGTTGTTGAATCTGGCCCTTAGGAGCTCACCTGGTCAGCATCGACAAACAGGAACTTGTCGACAACCAGGGGGAAGAGCACGTCCAGGAAGAGGATCTTGTACCCCCAGATGATGCGCTGCTTTTCGGTCTGTTGGTGAAGCCACCGGGGCCATTTGTACTGGACAAGCTCATACTGGAAACTGTATTTGTCTGCCATATAAGGTATAAACTCCTATTTTCAGACACAGGGAACAATAATCATTTACTTTGAGAAAACCAACTTCATAACATAAGACAACCATCATGATTATGGCATAAGTAAAACACACGGACTGTAACAATGGTTTAATAAAAGCATCTGACCCTGACTTACTGTGACTATATAAAAGACATATAAATGTTTGCTTGCCAACCCCCCATTTCTTTATGAGTTCTGAGCATTACATGAAATGGCAGAAATCTTTAAGTAAAGGCTTTGAAGTAACTGACGCATGTGTGCTTAAGAGAAATGAACTTCATTTGTCTAAACTTGATCGAAACATTTTTTTGAGCTTGATTTTTTTTTATTGTTGATACTGTTACAGATGTCCCCCATTTTTCCTGCCTCCACCCAGCCCCCACCCCACCCCAACCCTTCACTGAACTATATTGTCTGTGTCCATGGGCTATGTACATATGTTCTTTAATCTCTTCCCATCCCTCCCCTCCCTCCACCCCTCACTCTCTGACAGCTGTCAGTCTGTTGTTCGATGCTTCCATGCCTCTGCACCTATTTTGTTTGTCAGTTTATTTTGTTCATTAGGGTCCACATATAAGTGAGACCATGTGGAATTTGTCTCTGACTGGCTTATTTCACCTCCGCTAGGTCTAACTCAGGGAATGACCTGGCAAACCCAAACACTCTGAACAAATTGGCTGCCATTAAGTCCTTCATATTCTAAATACAAGTACCTTCAGGGGAACAGAAGTGAATTACTAGGAGAGAAATTACTGAATACTTTAAAAGTTGTTTAGTAAATTCTACAGAACGACAACAAAAAAATGCAAATAAATCAATTTAGATGGCAAATACTGATTAAATAAAGCAGAAGACCTTCCAAGTGTGTTTTTGTTTTATGCAGATGAAGCAGTAAGCCATAGGTCACCGGTGGCTGCTCGAGATGAAAGCAATCACTTTCTTACTGGAAACCAGCGCCGCTGTTTTATAATTGTACTAGGGCCGCAAGCTCAGAAGAGAATGCTGTTTCATCAGAGCAAACGAAATGGACTCTCTTCCTATGTTATCCGAGCTCCAAACAGACATAATTTTATGTTTGGTTTTATAACAACTGCTCCCCCAAAAGAGATCAGTCTGAGAGAGTAATCAACATAGAAATATGCAATCAATCGGGCAACTTATTACAAGGAAAATTCAAAAATAATACAGATAACAAAGAAATAGTAAAAAGTACATTATACTGCACATATCTCCTAATAAGAATTTTTCTTTTTCCTGAAGAACAAACCTTAAATGTGGGAGACAAATAATTCTTCAAAAACCAGAATTTCACAGGAGTCTTGGTATTCTTCAGCACTGATAACATCATTATGCTGCCAAAGAAAAGCAAATAATGCTAATAATCTTCCAATGCTTTATAATCTCAACAAAATCAAGTAGCAATTACAAGATCAGTAAATGTTTTTCATGACAGAGTTGATGGCCCAGTTAGGCCAAGAGATACCTTAGTAGTGGAAAATAGCACACATTCTTCCTTATAAGTTTATCACTAAGTGAGAAAGGAGTATTTCTCACCTACAAAAGTATACCAAACTGACAAAGGCAAATGTTTTAATCATGTTACACCTTAAATAAATCACTTCATGAGGCAATATATTAATTATGATAAAAATTACTAATGGAGGTTGTGGTTAACTGATTACATCACTCTAAAAAGAAAGCCTGCAAAGCCATAGCAGCTCTGTGCAACTGGCTTGCCTCCCACAGCCTGTCATGGAGGCCCGGCCAAGGAGAAGAGCAGAGAGGAGTAAAGAAATGGCAAATGGTTACAGTCTCAGGATTCCCTATTTTGAAAACAAACAAAAAATACATTTTGAGTCAAGGAATTTAAATTCAGTTGTTACTGACACCTGACATTACTGTTTTAGGCTAGATATTATTTCTTGGAAAAAGGAGGTATAAAACAGGAGTAAAATGACATGTTGATGATGTGCTACACTAGATTTGTAGTGGAATATTAGAAGTAACAGGAACCCTGGCACTAGGAAAGTTACTCTTAGGCAAAGGCGCTCCTGAGGACCTTCCCCCTGATGACCACTGCATCGACCAGCCCAACCAGTGGTCTCTCCTTGGCTATAGCTGTGACCTCAGGCAAGTCCCTTCGCCCTGAGTCTCAGTCTGTCTGTAAGACAGATCCCCTGGCTCTAAAATCCTATGAATCTTTAGAAGGCAAGTCCACTGTCCTAGTCCACTTCTATTCTCTGTTAACCTCCTAATTTACGGTTTAAGCAATGCTTGGTAACTAATTAAACACCACTATTTATAATGTGTGCACAGTGATGTTGAAGATTTACAGCCTTGTAATATCCACGCAGATGCATTTACTATATAGCTTGAGTTAATGCTGTTAACCAGATCAAAACCAATACAGTTATATACGGTAATCTATTCACAACACTCAGAGTGCTTCAAATACATAGAAGTACAATGGGCAGGATTGCATAAAACATTTACTCTCATTTTAAATGAGAATATACACGGAAATAACCAGCATGACTCACCGAAGAAACCTCTCATAGAGATGACCAGATGCAACAGAGAAAATATTAATTATGTCGTCTTTATCCTGTTTCACTTCCTCAGCCCTCTGTCCTCCGGTGAAGCCCCTGTAACAATATAGGTAAAAAAAGCACAAAAGGTGAGATGCTGGGACAGACACACAGTCCTTTAAGGGGAGCGGTAAAGAGAGGCATTTCCCACTCCTGCTTGTCCCTAGAAAGTGGTGCAGAGGGACCAGGGGCCAAGTGCCCCCCCCACCACGGGAGAGAGAGAGAGAGAGAGAGAGAGAGAAAGAGAGAGAGGGAGGTAGGTAGGTAGGTAGGTAGGTAGGTAGGTAGGTCGCACATGGCAGGAAACCACCCACAAGGTAATGAAAGGGTGCAGCTTCAAGGCACCATGCAGCTTCAGGAAAAGACTGAACAGAGGCTACTGCACAGAACTCAGTGAGTAGCATGGAAAGTAAACTGAGCCAGCCCTGCAGAGAGCAGGCACAACCCAGCAAGAGTCAAGAAGTATAAAAGAGAAGTAACTTCACCACGAGGGGGCGTTAACTTTTTGGTAGTCAGAAATACTCCTGTACGCTAAATTTAAGTGCAATTTTTGGATGCACATAGCAGAATCTGAAAGGCCTAAGACAGAATTATTATACTCAGAAAAAGAAAGAGAAGGTGCTTTTAACTTATTTTTCCTTAAAAAAACAACAAACACACAAAAAAAATTTTTATTATGCCAGTTTACCATTTGAAGGAATCCCAAAATCCAGACTCATTCTCATTAGTCCCATCGCTCAGCAAGTCCTCGTTCACCATGTCCGCCTTCTTCTGAACCTGCAATCACAGTGATGGGCTTGTTCCTCCTGCTGGGTTTACGGGCATTAAACTGACTTTACTGTGGGTACTGCCAACGAAACGGAATTAATTTTCCTACAAGCAGGTAAAACCCACGCAGAGGCTAGACGTATCCAACAGAAGTATCTCCATCATACCACACAAAACTGTAAGCAAAGACAGCAACCTCTTTTAATTAGACAATAACTGTTTTCAGTTTGAAAAATGGGAAAAACCTCTCAAACAAGTGTGTAGGAAATACAGTCTGAGCAAAAATACAAGTACAATCCAGCCAGCTGGCAGCGAGATCTAGGGAAGGAGTGCAGCCCACACACGCTCTGTAAGAAAGACATCATTTCGTGCAGGAGCCTTCTCAGGCTTCCCTAGCAGAGCCAGCAGGTCTTCTCTGGAGCACAGAGAACCCTCCCTCACTCCATGGTGTGCGGCCTGCTTTAGGTCTCACTGTGTATAAGAACTGTGGGTTCAGTCCTGACCACAGCAGACTGAGTAGCTCGACAAAGTGAGCCGTAATCTTTTGGCTGGTGGAGGTTCTTCCCTTCAATTTATAAAAAAAACAACAAACACAAAATCTGTGAAGCACAGTGAAGCAAAATATAATACAATGAGGTGCCTGTTATTTACTCCATAATACCTTTTGAGTTTAAGGCATTAAGAACTTTAAAATTCTGAGAACAGAAAGAAGTGAAAAGAAATTAAATGAGGTACCATTTATAATTGTTGCTGAAATTTTCATTGGCATTCTCCCCAATTTTCTGAGAATAAAGTCATCAATAATAATGTAAATTGTGGCTATATAACCAACACAATATCTATGAAAACATTTTATCTAAAATGAGAATTGCATTGCTCGTTGAGATTACCCAAAAGGCGCACTCTCTCAGCTGCAGCAAGCCACAGATGAATGTTTAGAAAGACATTTTGTGGATAAAGCAGTGTTCCCACAGACACCACAGTGAAATGCCAATTCCAATGATGAATTAAAGTCTTGGGTTTCTTTTTCTTCCCCCCTCAGCTTTACTGAGATATAATTGACAAGTAACACTGTATAAATTTAAGGTATACAGTGTGATGATTTTGTATACATATATATTATGAAATGATTACTATAATAATAGCATTATTCTTGGAGTTAACACATCCATTAACTCAGAAAGCCTGGAGCTGGTTTCAAGACACATATTTTTAGATAAGAGCAATTGAACACCAGGAAACTGCTACTTTCACCAAGTACAAAAGAGTAACTGCCTTAATATACCAAACTCACCTTCACTTTAATAATTTTGCTCTTAAAGTTATTGAGGACAACCACCACGTCACCAGCATCGGGCGGAGAGTCTGTCCCATCATGGCTTAGGGAGAAAGGGAGAAAGGGAGATGAACTTAGGAATCCCAGCTCTCGAGTGCAGCACATGCTGACATCAACCCGCTGTATCTGCCCATCATTTTACCACCAAGGAGTGTTTCAGAACAAATTATATTTTTCACAGCCTGCAAGAGGCCCTTCAAGGTACACAGAAGCACTTGCCATAATCTCTGAAAACACTGAGCATTCAAGCCAGTTACAGCCCAAACTTCCTTCTTGAGTCCCCTGAAATGGCCTTTCACAGAGGGAGAAGCTGCCAGTGCTGGTAAGTGTGTGCTGGACAGTTAGCAACCCTCTGTATTCACAAGGTCTGAGCCAAGCCCAGTGCCTCCAATAAAGGAGTGCCCAGGCCACGGGCCAGCTCTGCACCATCACTGGAAACACAGCCCTTCTCCTTTTCAGTGGACAGGGAGCAAAGCATGGCATCTGCTCCATTTTTCTGCAGGGAGGCACACAAGAGGCAAGTCCAGGTCCTGTACTCAATCTAGTGTCCATGCTCTGGAGGAAGACCTATAACAAGTCTATGTGCAGTCAGACGGGGCAGAGGAGGAGAAATATTTCCCTGCTAACCAACTGTAATGCCTAAAATTTCTAGCCACCAATTTTCAAGTTCTTAACTGCAGAAACCATGATAACATATGAATTCACTAGAGGCACTGTCATCCACAGAGAGCAGAGTTCTCAGCAAAGGTAAGATTCTGAAGGGGTTGCATGAGACACTCCAGAGGCTGGGAATATCCAGTGGGAAGCCCAGGAGGCAGGGAGCCCTAGACAGCAGGAAGAGAGGAAGGGCACCACACTCCTGGAGAGTGAGGAGAGTGGCCAGAGAAAGGGCACACCGAAGAACCATGGTTTAGAAAAACAGATAAACTTCTCATGACAGATTAAAATCCTGTAAAATCTTATTAGGGGAAAATATCATTTGGAGGAAAACCTACTGTTCATAATGAAGATGTTATTGTTATTATAATATAATAATACAGAGTCTTCTACTTCCTGGGTGTGGAATGTGCAAGGGTTCACGTTGTTTTCACGCATCAGGCAAGATCCTTGGCAGCTAAGATGAGGACACCACAAGAGGGTGCCTAACCAACTCCAATGGATATCATTCCCTAAATAAATTCACACAGTTTTCATATAGTTTAAAACCAATTTAAACTGTGTTAAGCAGGATTTAGACCACAACTTTTTAAAGGTAGTATAATTTTTGAAACTAATAGTCGATTGTAGCAAACCTTAAAGCAAAAACCCTGCTCCTGACTTAATGCTCTGGGAGCCCTTACTCCAAGCCCACTACAGGCCAGGAGGAACCAGTGTGAGCACCCAGGTCTCCTGGCTGAAGTCCACAGGTACTGATCACCTGTAACTCACTCAGGGTCGAGAAATATACTATCTGGGTAGAAAAGTCTGACCGTTCATTTCCTTTCTCCTTTCTTGAAATGACTCAGTTTCTCACCTGCCTATGGTTTTCATCACACTACAGATGATCTGATTGTGGAATATTGGTAGCAGAAAGGAATGAGTGAACAATGAAACTTAAAGGCTCCATCTTTTCCTCCTCACCCAGCCCGCATCAGGTGCCCTGGAGGGTCATGTGGAGTGGTGAATGGAAAGCTGGCAGTTAGCATGGCAAAGTGCCAACCCACTCATGAAGTTGGCTGGGCAATTCACCCAGGACGAGGCCCTTTGGCAGGAGAGATTAAGGCCTGGATCCTGGCCACCAGGAAGCCTAGCCTCTGAGGTGGTCTCCAAGCTTTGGGGAATAGCCTATGAAGCTGAGTTGGTGGCTGAATTCCTCCAGGACCAGAATGCATCACTTGTCCCACGCCCCTCAGACCTTCAAGATTGATGACCTCTTGGCAGAGATGTAGGAGACTGAACAGCCATGCTCCTGCCAGGCACCCCAGAGAGCCCCTGGTGTGGCAGACTTGGCCTTGTCTGAGAACCAGGCCCAGGAGTTTCTTGCAGCTGCAGATGCTGTGGATGTAACTCCGAATTTTACGAAACTGACTAGTCCCAAGAATTCATCTTTGAAGATATAGACCCTTTGTCTGTGTCCCCTGCCGCTGGGCTGAAGAGGGTCTGGAACAGTCAGGAGAGAAGTTGTGGCTGGGAGAGCCTGAGGGGACAGCTGCCACTGATGGCTGGCATGTGAATATCATCCTGCAAAGGGTCTGCAGCACACAGCCAGTGACTTTGTAGCCAAGATGATGACCTCACACTGGTTAACTCGGAGAGTACATCAGATGTCTGGGCTGATAAGACCAGCAAACACATCTGCCCTTGGTACAGAGTTTGAACATGCCAAATCAGCTATAGAGCTAGAAGGGGGTTGGAGGAGATGGTAAAATGGGATGCTGGGCTCCCTGGCTTTCTGATGATGATGACCTCACTTATGCTCCCTATGATGAGGGGGCCAGTTTGAAGAGCACCCCTGCATGACCACTCCCAGCCTTTCAATGAAGGGCTGCAGTGATGTCAGGAGGGGACCTGCCGAACGCTGTGCTTCTTTTTGGGGCAGCTGTGCAGAATGATCCTAAGCACAGGAGGCTTGGTAGTATCTGGGAACCACTCAGGCAGAGAGTGAACAAGAATATTAGCCATCAGTGCACTGCAGGAGTATCTGGAGCTAAAACTGTCTTTAAAACTGGACAGCACTGGTGGTGCTGGCAGCCAGCTTCACCACCGAGTCCCTGAAGACAGCCTGTAAAACCCTGCCAGACGGGTTGTGCCACACACAGGCCTATACCCCTCTGATGGAGCCTGAGGAGGAAGGGGCAAGGGGCAAAGGAATGGGCCCAGAAAGCACATCCTGGGATCTCTGTTGTCTGACTCTGTTTCTTGAAGTGGAAAAGCTCTTCCTGGCAGCCGTGTGCCTGGACCCTACATCCACTGATCCTGATGTGTAGTGTGGGTTGGGGTCCCTTTCAACCTGAGTGGGGAATACAACAGGCAGTGGACTGTTTCACAGCTGCCCGCAGCATTCATTCCAATGACTATTTGTTGTGGAATAAACTAGGGGCCACCTGGCCAAAGGAAACCAGAGTGAGGAAGTAGAAGCTACACCCTGAGCCCTCAGCTACAGCCTGGTGATATGCAGTCCCACTATGTATCAGCTGGGTGTCAGCTGCATCCACCTTGGGCCCATTGAGAGGCTGTGGGACAGTTTCTGGAGGCCTTATACATGCAGAGGGAAAGCCAGGCCTTCAGGGGGAAGGGTTGCCACACCAGAGAATATCTGGAGCACCCTGGGTTTGGCACTATGCTAGGCCACAGTGATGCCTAAGGGGTTGCTGATGCCTGGGATCTTAGCTATGACTGGCCTGCCCCAGCTGACAGTGGGATGAACTGCCCTGTGAGTGTCCACCTGGAAGGGACCCCAAATCCCTCTCCCTAAATGGGCCTACTGAGGGGGTGGGCTGATGACCATAAGCGTTACCCCTCTCAGAAGCAGCCTCAATGTGGGGGTGGACAGTCTGTCTTCCAGCTGTGCCATCCGAGTCCCTTGGTAACTGAAGGGCTGCACATCCAGCTACCGACCTCTCTGCTCATGACGCCCTTTGTTGGTGCTGCTTCCCAGTAGGACCCAGAGATACAGGGTAACTGTCATCATCAGCTGCTGTTTCTCACAGGGTCTACCACATCTATGATGTTTGTTCTTTCCCCTCTTTTACTGGGAATTGAGGGAGGGGAGGTGTTCTTCTACTGTGCCCCTCTGTGACGGCTGCATCTAGGATGGGATTTGTCAGGAGTTCGCCTGTTTGATTTAAATGTTGGTTTGGCTCAGAAGAGCTGAGTTTTGGTAGGGTGCTCACTGTTTTGTCATTTTTGGACCTCTCCTGGCTGTCGTTCAGATTCCCTGGGTATGATGCTGCATGCAGTAATGCTGGCATCACTATCTAGGGGTCCTCAAGAGCTGCCAGGGTCAATTGCTACACAGAGTATTTGGGTGTGGGTAGCAGGGAGGCTCGTTTGTGGAATTAGCCTAGAAGGGACCAGATGGGATCAAATCAAGGGCTCTGTTCTGTGGCCTCTGCTGGTAGGACAGAGCAGTGGAATGAGGGATGTGGTAAGTACAACAGTCCCTCCTCTTCAAAAGACCTGCGAGTAGAAACTGAGCTAACTCTTCTAAAAAGTTGGTTCAGAAATTGCTGTCTTGCCAAATTCCTAGCAAAGAGGGAGTTCAGTGTTACCTTAAGCCTTTCCTGTACTTCTTGAAATGTTTCTAGGAGGGAGCATGGAACAATCCCCTTCCCCTACAGCACTCAGCAAGGTGAAGACTGAGGGAGCTACGTGGACCCCTCTCCACAGTCTCCTGTGTAGGAAGCTGCACTAACTCCTGAAATGGCTGCTGAGCCTCTTGCCTTGTCTTCAGTAGCTAATGATCAGAGACTTTTTTTTTTAAACTACCATGGTTCCAAAGATTTAAAAATAAAACTGTAAAATATTTTGTATAAAGAATAAATGGAACTGACATGGGTAAAAAAAAAAAAAAAAAAAAAAAAAAAGAAACCGAAACTTGACCATACTTACTAGTATTGGATAACATTACTCTCCAATTATATCCTGATAATTCTTCCATGTTTAATTTCCTGGAAAAGCACTGTTTCATCACACATACGACTATAAGTTCTTGTTCCCTGGCTAACTGCCAGTGTAGTATTCAATTCGAGCTGATTTTCACAGCAAAATGCTCTGAAAAAATGTACCTGCATCACTAATCCTACCTATAGATCCTGTAAATATCTTCGGAACGTCCCTTCCTTAGTCTGAGAATCCAAGCTCCTGGGTTGGCTTTTAACTGAAAGTAACCCTATGACAAGAAGAAAAGACAGATTTTAGTTCTTTCAAACATCAAAATGCTGTTTCTGAGGGGCGGTTAGTTCTTTTTCGAAATAATAGTCACCTGTATTTTAAATAAGATAGTTAACAAATCAGTGCAGCTCAAAAGAACCTCCATATTAGAAACACTAGCAAAATACAGGCCACTCAAGCCAAGAAGCCTGCCGATTAGCCGTCCTTTCCTGGAGAATCACCGTGCAGCACGTGAGCAAGCCGCCTGCCCCAGGGAAAAGGAAAACACTGTCAGCTCATAAGCGATGCTTTTTCAGGGCCAATTCGGTTTAGACAATTCCAGCATGTTTTCTCCTAAGGTGACCATGGAATCACAATCTACAAGTTTAACTAAACTTACGATTTTTATATTGACCAACTTTAATTAATCGTGAATTTTAATCTCACTCATGTTCAGAATGCTAATTGCTCCATCATAAATCATAGAGCCCAAACTGACATGACTCAACATCACCATCTGAGGCACTGATATTTACCAGATTGGCCATCACAATGGTATCCACAATGACTGGGTTGGCTGAAGTTCCTAATGTAAACTGTAGTCCCCGTGGAGGCTGCCCTGTGGTGATATCATAGCAGTGACCTTCTAGTAAGAGGTACTCCAGTTCGTACTCAGCAGCCACTATGCCGTCCACCTGCAATATCACAATTAAATCACTTGAAGGCTATTTAGCAATAAAAAGAAACAAACTACATGCAACAACATGGATGAATCCCTAATGTATTACGAAAAGCAAATGAAGCCTTTATGTTTAAGGGTGATATACCGTATGATCACATTTATAAGAAATTCAAAAAAAGCACAACTATGGTGACAGAAAGTAGACCAGCAGTTGCCTGGGGCCAAGAGTGGGGAAAGGACATTGCCTGCAAAGGGGCACACTGTGCTTGTGGTTAAAACAGTATACAATTTTTAAAACTCAGGTGGGTTGAAAAGAGAGCAAAAAAAAAAGGACATAAAAAGCAATGAGGAGGTGACTCCAGAAGTACAGATGGGAAGACTCTCATTAGAAAGGCAGTATAGGGAAAAGCATGTGAAACAAACTGCCAAAGAAACAGATCTAAAAGCTAGATGATGGAGGAAACAGAAAAGACAATCCCAGAAGGATTAATTTACACGAGATAACATAGAAACAATGCAAAAAATTCAAGAAACATCAGAGAAAACTGCAAATTCATCTTGTTCTTCAGAATACAGCTGAAAATACTGCTATTCTAGATGCAAATGTCCAACATGCACTAATGGCTCCATAATGGCATAATCATCTATGTTCTATACCAACTGGTGAAGTTATCACTGATCCCTGGCAGAAAATATAACTGCAATGTCTTGGGGCAGTTTAGATTTAGCTAAATAAAGAGTTTCTATCCCAGGCTTGGCTGTGTAACTCTGGCTAATGCTAATAATGCACTATTTGGAGCTTAATATGTTACTACAATGCTAATCTAAATTCCAAAAGTGTAATAATAAGAGCTAAGAGGTAAACCTCCCCCTGCTTACCAAGTCTTGGGCCCCAAATTTGCAGTGGAATGCAGAGAAACTAGAGAAAGCCTAAAAAAGAGCACAAAAGCTCTGAAGATATGGAAGAAACCCTGTTTTCCATCTGATTCTGCACTTCCTTGCACTGTTCTTTAGTGCTTCTTGTGGCTATTTTATAACCTCTTCAACAAAAGCAAAGACTACATTTCCTATTTCTTAAAAGAACTACTGTATATATGCAACTTTATTTTTTATAAACTTAATGGCAACCGCACACAAAAATCCCCAAACCAGGACATATAGCTTAAAAAAAAAAAAGAAACAGAGGAAAGAAGTATGGAACACCACCAAACAAAAACAACAGACAGAAGTACCAAGGAAAAGAACCAATGGAGGCACAGAGCTACTGGAAAACAAAAGATAAAATGGTTACAGGAAATCCTCATAATCAATAATTACCCTAAATGTAAATGGTCTGAATTTACCAAAAGAGAGGCACAGAGTAGCACAGTGGATCAGGAAACAAAACCAAACANTCTGAATTTACCAACAGAGAGGCACAGAGTAGCACAGTGGATCAGGAAACAAAACCAAACACATGCTGTCTACAACAGACACATCTAAGCTGCAAAGACAAAGATAGATTCAAAGTAAAAGGGTGGGGAATGATTCCACCAAAAAGCAGGTGTAGCAAATAACATCCACCAAAAAGCAGGTGTAGCCTTACTTATATCAGACAAAATAGATTTCGAGACAACAAAGATAAGAAGAGACAAAGATGGACACTTTATAATGATAAAGGGGCAGTGCATCCAGAAAACATAACACTTCTTAAAATATATGCACCCAACCAGGGAGCACCAAAATGTACAAAGCAACTACTCACAGAACTAAAGGGAGAAACAGATCCAAACACAATCATAGTTGGGGACCTTAATACTCCATTGACAGCTCTAGACAGATCAGCCAACAGAAAATCAATAAAGAAATATCAGGTTAAATAAAACTCTACATCAAATGGATATAACTGACATTTTCACAGCCTTTCATCCCAGAACATAATGTTATACACTCTTCCCCAGGGCACATGGAACGTTCCCAAGGAGAGACCATATGCTGGGTCACAGAACCAGCATCAACAAATTCAAGAAGACTAAAATCATACCAAGCNGCATCAACAAATTCAAGAAGACTGAAATCATACCAAGCATATTCTCTAACCATGATGTATTGAAATCAGAAATCAACTGCAAAAAGGAAGTAAAGAAACCCACAAATATGTACAGATTAAATAACATACTATTAAAAANTGCAAAAAGGAAGTAAAGAAACCCAAAAATATGTAGAGATTAAATAACATACTATTAAAAATTGACCAGGTCAAAGAGGAAATAAAAGATGAGATCAAAAGATAGAAGAAAGTGAGAATGTCAATACTACATATCAAAACTTCTGGGATGCAGGGAAAGTAGTAATAAGAGGAAACTTTTTATATCATCACAGGCTTATTTCAAGAAACAAGAGAAATCTCAAGTAAACAACCTAACATGACATCCTAAAGAACTGGAAAAAGAACAAAAGCAGCCCAAAGTCAGCAGAAGAAAGGAAATTATAAAAATTAGAATTAAACAGAGAAAAGACTATACAAAAAATTAATAAAACAAAGAGCTGGGCCCAGCCAGCATTGCTCAGTGGTTGGGCGTCTACCTATGATCCAGGAAATCGTGGTTTGATTCCTGGTCAGGGCACATGCCGGGTTGCTGGCTCGATCCATGGTAGGGGTGTGCAGGAGGCAGTCCATCAATGACACTCTTATCATTGATGTTTCTCTCTCTCTCTCTCCCTTCCTCTTATCTGAAATCAATAACATTTTTTTTAAAAACAGAAACAAAAAAAACACAAAGAACTGATTCTTTCAAAAGATTACTAAAATTGACAAACTCCTAGCTAGACTCACTAAGGAAAAAAGGGAAAAGAGCCTATCAGAAATGAGAAAGAAGTCACCACAGACATCACAGATATACAAAGAATCATACCAGAATATTATGAAAGACTACATGTCACTAAATTCAATAACCTATAAGAAATGGGTAAGTTCCTAGAAATATATAACCTCTCTAGACTAAATCATGAAGGATTGGAAAAATCTAAATAGACTGGTAAGCAGACTGAAACAACCATCAAAAACATCCCAAAAAACAAAAGTCCAGGACCAGATGGCATCACCAGTGAATTCTACCAAGTGTTCAAAGACGACTTAAAACCTCTCCTTCTCAAACTCTTCAAAAAATTTGAAGAAGAGGCAATACTTCCTAACACATTTTATGAGTCAAATGTGACCCTGATTCCAAAATCTGGCAAGGATAACACACAAAAAGAAAACTACAGACCAATATCTCTGATGACTACAGATGCAAAAATCCTAAACAAAGTACTAGCAAACTGAATACAGCAGTACATCAAAAATAACACATCACGATCACATGGGGGTAATTCCAGGGGCACAAGGATGGTTCAATGTAAATACATAAACAATCCATGTGATACACAGTAACAAAAGAAAGGATAAGAATCATATGATCTTATCAATAGACACAGAAAAGGCATTTGATAAGATACAACATCCATTTATGATGAACACACTCAATAGAATTAGGAATAGAAGGAAAACACCTCAACCTAATAAAGGCCATATCTGATGAACCCTCAGCCAACATCACACTCAATGGTGAAAACCTGAAAGCTTTTCCTCTAAGATCAGGAACAGGACCAGGATGCCCACTCTCACCCTCTTATTCAACACAGCATTGGAAGTCCAGCCAGAGCAAGAGGCTAGAGAAAGAAAGAAAAGGCATCCAGATGGGGAAGGAAGAAGTAAAACTGTGACTTTTTACAGAAAACATAATTCTGTATATGGAAAATCTTAAGGCTCCACCAAAAAACTATTAGAAACAATAAACAAATACAGCAAAGTTGCAGGATACAAAATCAGTGTACAAAAGTCCACTACCTTCCTGTACACTAACAACAGAACTTTAGAAAAATAAATTAAAAAACAAAACAAAAAACAATTCCTTTTGTAATTGCAACCAGAAGAATAAAATACCTAGGAGTAAACTTAACAAAGAATGTAAAGACCTATATACTAAAAATTATAAAACGTTATTAAAAGAAATTGAAAAAGACACAACAAAATGAAAAAATATCCTGTGTTCATGGATTGGAAGACTCAACATTGTTAAAATGGCCATATTACCCAAAGCAATACACAGATTTAATGCATCTCCATCAAAATCCCAATGTCATTTTATAAAAAAATAGAACAAGAAATCATCAGATTTGTATGGAACCACAAAAGACCCAGAACAGCCAAAGCAATCCTGAGGAAAAAGAACGAAGCTGGAGGTATCACCCTACCTGACTTCAAATTACAGTACAGAGCTACAATAATCAAACCAGCATGGGATTGGCACAGAAACAGACACACAGACCAGTGGGACAGAACTGAGAGCCCAGATATAAAAAACCACATGTATATGGGCAGATAATTTTCGACAAAGGAGCCCGAAACACACCACAGAGTAAAAATAGTCTCTTCAACAAATGGTGCTGAGAAAACTGGAAAGCCAAATGCAAAAGAATGAAACTGGATTACAGTTTGTCCCCATGTACAAAAATAAACCCAAACTGGATCAAAGACCTAACTGTGAGACCTGAAACAATAAGTTACATAGAAAAAAACATAGGTGCCAAACTTATGAATCTTGGGTCATAGAAAGCATTTTATGAAGTTGACCCCAAAGGCAAGGGAAGTAAAGGCAAAAATAAATGAATGGGCCTATATCAAACTAAAAAGCTCTGCACAGCAAAAGAAACTGACAACCAAACAAAGAGGCAGCCAACCAGATGGGAGATGATATTTGCAAACAGTAGCTCCCACAAAGGTTTAGTTTCCAAAATATATAAAGAACTCATAAAACTCAACACCAACCAAACAACCCAATCAAAAAGTGGGCAGAGGACCTGAGCAGACACCTCTCCGAAGAAGACATACGAACAGACAATAGATACATGAAAAGATGTTTGACCTCACTAGCAATTTGGGAAATGCAAATCAAAACTACAATGAGGTACCACCTCATGCCTGTTAGAGTGGCTGTTATCAACATGACAAGTAACAAGTGCTGGAGAGGCTGTGGGGAAAGGGAGCCCTCATTCTCTGCTGGTGGGAATGTAGGCTGGTACAGCCACTATGGAAAGCAGTCTGGCAGTTCCTCAAAAAATAAAGAATAGAGCTACCATATAACCCAGCAATCCCTCTCTTGGGTACCTACCTGAAAAACTGAAAAACATGTATTCGCAAAGATATATGCACCCCTATGTTCATTGCGGCATTATTCACGGTGGCCAAGACATGGAAACAACCAAAGTGTCCTGCAATACAGGACTGGACAATGAAGATGTGGGACATGCACACAGTGGGCACTACTCAGCCATAAGAAAGGATGCAATACTGTCATTTGCAACAACATGGATGGACCTTGAGATTATGCTAAGTGAAATGTCAGTCAAAAAAGCTAAGAACCTTATCATTTCACTCATATGTGGGATATAAAACTAAAACTTGTCGACACACACAGCAGTGGGGTGGTTGCCAGAGGGCAGGGGGTGGAGGGCTGGTGGGTGAAGGAGGTATTAATATGTGGTGATGGGAGAAGATATGACTTTGGGTGGCAGGCGCACAGAACAATATATAGATCTTGTAACACAGAAACCCACACCTGGCCCAGCCGGGCGTGGTTCAGCGGTTGAGCGTCAACCTAGGATCCAGGAGATCGGGGTTCGATTCCCGGTCAGGGTACATGCCCGGGTTGCGGGCTGCAGCTGATCAATGGCTCTCTCATCATTGATGTTTCTCTCTCTCTCCCTCTCCCTTCCTCTCTCTGAAATCAATAAAGATATATTTTAAAAAAAAAACAAACCCACACCTGAAAGCTCTGTGTTCATATTGACCATTGTCACCCCAATAAATTTAATTAAAAAAATATGATGGATAGGATTGGGGTGGGGAGTAAGGCCAGTGTGTATACACAAACACCCTTCCCTAACAAGTACTAAAGGGTCCTTCTTAAAGAAACTAGAGTGCCCGGCCGGGCGTGGCTCAGCAGTGGAGCTTCAACCTAGGATCCAGACAACCGGGGTTCAATTCCCGGTCAGGGCATCTGCCCGGGCTGTGGGCTCAATCCCCAGTCAGGGGCGTGCAGGAGGCAGCCAAAAAATGACTCTCTCATCATTGATGTTTCTCTCTCTCCCTCTCCTTTCCTCTCTCTGAAATCAATAAAGATATATTTTTAAAAAAAAGAAACTAGAGTTATTTAATCTAATGAAAAAAGACTGAGAAATCCTTTGGTAGCTAAGTTCCTGGTCTCCCAATTCCAAGAAGACAGAATCAGGAACAGGCTTCAATTGTAGCAGGAGATATTTAGGATAGACACAGAGACAAATGTCTTAAAAAGGAAGGAGGCTCTGAGAAGCTTTAAGCTTCTTGAGAGTAAAGACCATGTCTTTTAATCCCTTTGTTAAAAAACACTGAGCTAGGTCCAGGGAGTGAGGGGAACAAAGAGACATTAGTGAATTATACTTGTGAGCTTCCTACCTTTGAAAATAGGTTAGAGGAATGGGACCACTTATCTTAGAGACTCAAAGTACAGTTATATGGAAATAAATAAAATAAAGAATAAAAAAAGAAAAAGCAATGAAGCCAAAAGCTGGTTCTTCAAAAATATCAACAAACTGATAACCTTTTAGCTAGAATGACCAGGAAAAAAAGAAAGAGCCAACTTACTGAAATCAGCAAGGAAACAGGAGACATTGCTACTAAAATTAAAAAGGCTATAAGAAAATGTTGTGAATAACTATATGCCAACAAATTAGATAACTTATATAGAATGATAAATTCCCAAGATACAAAAACTCTGGAAACTGACAAGATAAAACAGAAAACCTAAATAGACTCTTAGCAAGAGATTTAATTAGTAATTTTAAAATTTCCCAATTAGGTAAGAAAATTAAAGACATCCAGTTTGGAAAGAAAGAAGTGAAATTACCTCTCTTTGCAGATGACATGACCTGTACAGGCTTGTAGATACTAAAAACTACAAAACGTTGTTAAAAGAAATTAAAGACCTAAATAAATGGAAAGACTGTCCATATTCATGGATCAGAACACTAAATTGTTAAGATGGCAAATCCCTAAACCTAGGGATTTAAGGCAATCCCTATCAAAATTCCATCGCCTTTTCTGCAGATATTAACAAGCTGATTCCAAAACGCAAAAAACTCAGAATAGCCAAAATGATCTTGAAAAAGAAAAACAAAATTAAAAAACTCACACATACCCATTTCAAAACTTATTATAAAGCTATAGTAAATAAGACAATGTGGTACTGGCTTAAGGATAGACACACAGATCAATAGAACAGAACTGAGAGTCTAGAATTAAATCTTCACATTTAGGATTCATTCATTTTCAACAAAGGTGCCAAGACCATCCGATTGGGGAAAGAGCAGTCTTTTCAACAAATGATGCTGGGACAACTGGATATACACTGAAAGAATAAAGGTGACACCATCACACTGTACGCAAAAATTAGCTCTAAATGAATCAGAGACCTAAATATAATAAAGTCTTGGAAGAAAACATAGCAAATCCTTGTGACCTGGGATTAAACAATGATTTCTCAGGTAAACACCAAAAGCACATACAATGAAAGAAAAAACAGGTAACTCAGACTTCATTAAATTTGAAACGTTTGTGCTTTAAAGGACATTATCTGGAAAGTGAAAAAAAAACCCCATGGAATGAAAATAACTTATTTGCCAATAATATATTTGGTAAGGAACTTGTATCCAGGCTATTTAAAGATCTCTTATAATTCGACAAAAAGACAAGCAAATTTTAAAAATAGGCAAAAAATTTGAATACACTTCTCCAAAGGTGGTATACAGATGACTAATAAACATATTAAAAAATGCTTAACATCATTTGTCATTGGGTCAGGAATAGAAAATGGTACAGTCACTTTGGAAAACAGCTCAGAAATCCCTCAAAAGGTCAAACATAAAATTATCATATGACCTAGCAACCCCACCCCTAAGTATATACCCAAGAGAAATAAAAGCGTTATCTATAAAAACTTGTGCATGAATGTTCATAGCAGCACTAATCATAATAGCCAAAAAGTAGAAGCAACACAAATGTCTATCAATGAATGAATAATTGACATATGGTATATCTGTACCATGGAATATTATCTGGCAATAAAAAGGAATTAAGTACTAATGCTACAGGAAGGATGAACCTTGAAAATAATTTAAGTGAAAGAAGGCAGTCATAAAAATATGATTGTATGCAGATGAAATGTCAGAACAGGCAAATCCACAGAGACAGAAAGCAGATGTGTGGTGGCCAAGAGGAATGGGAGTGACTGCTAATGGGCATGGAGTTTCTTGAAAGGGTCATGGAAACATTCTAAAATTAGACAGTGATGATGGCTGCACAGCTCTGTGAATATATTAAAACTATGGAACTATACATTTTAAAAGGGTGAATTTTATGGTATGTGAATTAGATCTCAATGAATTACTATTTTTAAGAATATAATGATGCCTGAATATTGACATCTCAAAGGCCTGCCTAGGCTGTGATCCAGTCTTCAGTCAGAGACTATTCACCACGATATCTAAAGCAGGTTCTACACATGATTAGATACTTGGAAGCAATGATATTCTTACCTCTTCTAAATAAATATTATCCAGATCATATGGAGTTCTGACAGACTCCACCATCCAACTCTCAGGTGTGTTCAAATTCAGAGTGAACAGAGGAGACTGTGGCATATCCAAAAATTTGGCTATTGGACCCTTAGCAAAACTGTTGTCTGAAGTGAAAGAAATCTCTGGTTCTAAGACATAACGGTAAAAGCTGAAATTAAAAAGAAAAGTGTTAGTTGTGTGTGTGTTTTTTTAATACAATCAGTCCTTGAGATTATAGGCCTTCATAAAGGTAAACAGCTGGCTTACAACAAACTAGATTTGGGTTTCCTTCCAGACTGGGAAAGTGCTTCCAAAACTGTTTCTTAACCTAACTAACTTCCTCTGGCCGTTGCAGATGCAAGAGCAGAGCCAGAGGAACAGGACTGAGAGGGAGGTCCCCCTTCCTGTTCTGCTATGGATGGCTGCCATTGGGGTCTCAGGCATTTCCTGAGTGTTTCACTTTTCTCTTACAAAGTCCTAGGTAGTGACTGGGTGCTCAGATGAGCTCAGTAATAGTTTAAACATTTCTCTCCTGAACAAGGACAATGGTGGAAGCTGGAAACTTTGCCCCTTTCAAACACAGTTTGAAAATTCACTTAGAATCTACCCTATAGCACACAGCACATTTGTAAATTAGAAAGTCCCATAGTTCTAACACGTGCTATGCTATTACAACTAACTGCTTTTTGTATCTTTTTCATAATGACCATTTCAGAGCTCAGAGAGTAAGTCTGCCCTCCTTTTCAAGATGCACGTATGAGTGCTCTTCTTTTAAGATGAAAAAAGTACAGACAAGTCTTTTCTCAGCACAGCACATTTTAACTATCAAGGTAAATTTAATAGCTACATTGATCCAATGTTCTATACAGTTCTCTAACTATACAGTTAGAGAACAGTATAGTTCTGACCAAAAAGAAAGAGGGAAAGAAGCACAGTGCAGGGAGCTTGAGTTAATGCCACCTAAGTGCTCCCACTCCCACTGTGAGTTCATCCAACTTCTGATTAGAGCAGAAAGTTAGCAAAACTAAGCATTCAGTAAATGACCTCCTCAAATATGACGACTCATTTATAAACCCAGCTTTTAGATTTTTTTCAATTGTTGATTTCTTAAAGAGCTTGTTTTACCTTTTTAAAGGCATGTCAGAAAGTTTAGACTGGCAGTTCATAAATACTCTTAGATTCATGTTGATCAGCTGAGTTAACACCTAAGAGAACAAACCAGATGACAAAACATAAATTTATCACTTGATACTGAGTTAACAGAGAGAACATTTCTTAATATCTTGCAAAAAGATACGCACTCTAGTGCACAATCTAAATCACACATACATATCACTTGTCAAAACATGGGAAGCAGGCTGTTGCAAATCACTGCCCCCTATGCAGGTGGTAAGCAGTAGACAGAGAATGGGGAGCTGTCCACACAAGGGAAATATAAAGATTCATCAGTGCGCCCAGCCGGGCGTGGCTCAGCGGTTGAGCGTCGACCTGGAATCCAAGCGATCGGGGTTCGATTACCCGTCAGGGCACATGCCTGGGTTGCAGGCTCGATCAATGACTCTCTCATCATTGATGTTTCTATCTCTCTCTCCCCCTCTCCTTTCCTCTCTCTGAAATCAATAAAGATATATTTTTAAAAAAATAAAAAAATAAAGATTCATCAGTGCTGCTTACATACTATGGTATGAAAACACATATATACAAATACCCACAAAAAAAGGTTAGTTCATTATACTTCATGAAAACTTTGTCTTAAAAATACAAAGCAGAACAAGTTGAAGCAACTGTGTTTTAGGCAGAGCTCTTTTAAGTTTTCTCAAAATTGTACTATATACATGTGTAAAAGACATGCTAACTATAAGAGGAAAATGATAAGGCAGAATTCTTTTAAATTTTTACCTCTTTACCATTATAAATTAAAATATGGCATAAATCAATTTAATTCAAAGACATTTTGCTCTAAATACGGATAATTTTGTTCTTTATTACATGAGCTAACCAACCAAGCCTGAACCAACTAAGGTTACGAAGCTGTTTCCAGAGCCATTACCAATCTTTATGAAGACATTAGCTCCGCCAAGATGCCTTACAGGGTTTTCCAATGCCCTCTGAAGATAACTAACGATCTCAGAGAGCCACAGGGGATGTGATCACTTCACAAAGAGATGGTATACTAACTGTAGGGCTGTCCCTACCAAGAGCAATGGGGCAAGTCTCTGCGATTCTCTGGTGACAGGGTCAATGACAGCCACGACATCAAAGTACGTCTCTCCTTCTTTCGGCCTCAGTTTAATTGCACTACAGAGATCAAAAGATAAAACGTTAATCTGGAGGAAAACAAGACACAAAGTTAATTTGTTTTTGCAATGGGGTGGGGGGGGTGAGGCGGCTGTGAGGGGAGGGTTGAATAATAATTTATCAGCCCTCTTAGCATTTCAAAAAAACTTTAGCTCTAGAACAAGGCTACAAGGTGGTCAACTATGTGATTATGTCTCCCTCAAAGTTTACAAAACCCTCTAATTGACTCAGGTTCACTTGAAGTGGATTGAAAGATGTGTGTTAAGAGAGGGAAAACCAGCTTGAAATTGTATTTAGCTGAAAACTGCTAAAAGCCTTTTAAGTTTGTTTTTGACATTTACAAATATTATGCCAATTTTTATTTCTTTGCAAAAAGGGTATGAGAGAAAAAAACAAAATCATTTTTTACATAATAAAAGGAATTTAAGAAAATTACAGAAAACTTGCAGACGAAAGAAAAGGAAAATAAATAATCATAAAATCTCACCATCCCCACCCAACTACTTTGTGGCATATCCTGTGTAGTCCTCCTTACATGCCTATATAAAGAACAACTGTACCTACAGAGTATTCCATTTCCTTCCCTCCCCCACCACTTTCTCATAAAGGTCTCCCGTGTTGTTACACACCAAATACCCCGAAGAAGAAGAAACCATCTAGTTACCAAGGGAATCTGCCATAGTTACTTAAGCTATTCCTTACTGCTGGACATGTAGATCTTTAAACCTGCAAAATAACTTTGTACATCAGCTCTTATCATACTTGGAAATTTCTTTAGAGTCAATGAAGTCCTAGACATGAGATTACTGAGTCACAGAATACAAATATTTTGGTGGCTAATATGTACTATCAACCATGTTTCCTGAAGAAATAAACAAATTTACAAGGCCAAGAAATGAACTTCAGTACATCCTGCCAGTATTAAGTTATACATATTTCAACTGTTCTTAATAAGTTACAAACAACAGCTGTGAGGTTTCAGTCTGAACTCCTAGGGTTTCTGGGGGGAACATGCATTTTCCCACATGCCGTGTCCAGTTTCACAGCCTTCACCTAAACTTGTCACATTGATTGATTCAGGTGACTTAAGAGGAGCAGGAGCCTCGGACACATTTTTAAACAGAAATACACTTTAAAGGATTTAAAAATATATCCAATTTCTGCCTGGCTGGCATGGCCCAGCAGTTGAGCATTGACCTATGAACGAGGAGATCTCGGTTTGATTCCCAGTCAGGGCACGTGCCCGGGTTTCAGGCTCGGTCCCCAACAGGGGGTATGCAGGAGGCTGCCGATCAATGACTCTCTCATCATGGATGTTTCTCTCTCTTTCCCCCTTTCTCTCTCTGAAATCAATAAAAATATATATTTTTTAAATATCCAATTTCTAAAGACATTAATTGTTGAAACAATGTTTACCACTGTCTGCTCTGAACAATATTTTAATGCAGTTCCAATGCTAACCGCTACTTAGTGATTGATTTTAGAGAGAGGACGGGGGAGGGAGAGAGAGAGAAACATGGATTTGCTATTCCACCTATTCACCCATCATTGGTTGATTCCTGGATGTGCCCTGACCAGAGATAGAACCTACAACCTTGGCACTCAGGGATGATGCTCTAAGTACCTGGGGTACCCAGGCAGGGCTGCTAACACTACTCTGATGCAAGAACAAAACAGAACATCACTGATAAAACTGGGCAACTATAATCTAAGTGGTGCTGGAGGTTATTTCGGCCCTCAGTGCTTTGGAAATAACCACCAGAGAGACTGCAGCAGACGCTGTCCACTCTGATGCTAACAATTCCAGTCCCCAAGAATTGCTGCAACATTATGTGTTGACTCTAATACAGCTGTTTTCAAAGTGTGGCTCCAAACCAGCAGCAGCAGCTTCACCTGGGAATTTGTAAAAACAAACTGTCAGGCCCCAACCCAGACTTACTGAATCAGAAACTCTGGGGATAGGTCCAGCAATCTGCATTTTAACAAACTATCTAGGTAAAAATGTGAGAGCCACTGCCCTCAGATACTCTGGACTTCTGTGTGACTCTAGAGGAAAAGTATACTAGAGAATAGCATGATACAAAGTCTCACAAGGGGAACAAGAAGCGGAGCCCCAAAGAGGCCTGGGCCAGGCCTGCCCAGGCCAACACTGGGAACTCTGGCACTTGGGGCAGAGTTCTGTTTGCCATGTTCATGTTCTAAGGCAATATTCTAGGTGATCCTCAACAGGCACACCCAGAAACTGACCCTGTAGATGTCTTTTAACCACCCCCAATCTCTTGACAAAAAAAAGGAGGGCAAGACAAAAACCAAGAAAAGAGTAACTCTGGTATAGAAATGCATAACAACATAGACAATATCCTGTTTAAATCTACTCACTGTATTGGTCAGGAAAAAAGACCAGAATAAGGCCAAAACTAACAGAGAGAGGAACAGATCTTGGGTTCACACACATTTTTGTGAGGCTGGCAGAGCAAATGTCAAAGACTACAGTGCTTCACCCATCTTAGTGTACACGGGAATCACCTTGTTACAGAGGAGATGCTCAGTCAGGAGTCTGGGTTGGAGCCAGAGACTGCGTTTCCAACACTCTCCCAAACAATGCCTGGCTGCTGTTCCAGGAACACACTTTCAGGGCAAGGATACACATACCCAGTAATTCAGACCATCTCTTTTATTAAAAAAATAAGTAACTTCTGATATAAACAAAGCAAATACTCATTTAACTAGCACAACCCCAATAAAAAAGAATTTCTCTAATTATAATTTGTATCATAACAGAATTTGTAATCAGGACATATTCATTACGTAAGACTCATGGGGAAAGGGGTATTCTGGAAAGAGAAGAGTTCTTGCTCAGGATTCACTATCTTGGCCATGAAAGGCAAACAAGATTTCTGGTCAATCAGGAAATACGTTTCCTGGGGCAGGAACTAGATAACAAATTATTTCCTGAAAGTACAGTGATGAGAAGATGGGTACTAATGGGAAAAATCCAACGAGGGTTATTAGCAAGGAGACACAGACGTTCTCACACCCCGGCAACATGAGATGAGGAGACAGAGCAAGGAGGAAAGGAGGGGCCCCGTTCCAGCCTGGAGCGGCCAGCCCGCTTGGCTCGGTCCCCCAGGACGGTGTGAGGCGGCACCGGCCAGCGAGGCCCACCTTCCCCAGACTCAAGTTGGAGCCACAGAGGGGTTCTGTGTCTAAGGCTTCCCTGGTGATTCTAAGGGGCAACTGAGATGTACACATGCCCAGTAAGACAAGGGCTACGTACATCAACGTAGGAGTTCCTCCCAAAGACACGCAAACATTAAGCCTCGTCATGAGGAAACAATCCAGACTGTGAAACATTCCACAAGACAACTGGTATGGACTCATAAAAAAGTAAAAAAAAAAGAAGAAAGAAAAACAGGTAACTATTCTAGATTAAAGGAGACTGATGAAAACAAAATAGCTGTAAAAGGTCATTACTAGGGCAATGGTGAAATCTGAATTCGAACTGTGTATTATTTAATATTACTGTATCAAGATTAAGTTGCTGAGGTATGCTAGTAAGTACTGTGAGGAACTCCTAGTACCCAGGAGATGTATGCTGAATAATTTAGGCAGGATATACAATGATGCCTGCAATGTAGTTTCAAGGAATTCAGAAAATATGTGAGTGCATGCATGTTTGTCTGCAAACATACAAATAGACATTATGTACACTATACATACATAAATACACACACAGATGATAAGTGTGACATTTGTTAAAAACTGGTGAATCTAGATTAAATAGATAGTCTTTCAACTATTCTCTTGGTTTGAAACTTTTTCTAATAAAAAACTAGGGGGAAAAGGCAAGGACTTCCTCTTAATGCTAAACTTATTTTTATTTTATTGAAAACAAAACCGTTTTCAATAAAAGATGAATAAGACAAGTGCTCTAACGAACTGTTTATTCTCGAGTATCAAAAAATTACAACGGATCCGCTTTATTAAATGCTGTTTTCTAATAGGGTGCATTCAGAACTATTTCGGGTGGATTTAGAAATAAATATCAGCTTTCAGTCAACTGAGATCTGTATATGAGTTTTACATATGAATATGAACATAAGAGAACCGTACGCCAGACAAATGTCCCGTTCACAGAAGAACTTATGTACACCTTTTATATGAGAAATTAACGGCCTGAGGTGCAGGCAACCCCAAGACTTTCGTACTGAAGACAGCGCTGCCGTGGCTGCAGCCTGCGCACTGCCTCGGTGCCACCCAGACGATGCACAACAGCCCCATCTGCTCTTGGTGCATAAACTCACAGAGAAACATGAGCCAATGACAGAAAATGGTACTGCAACAGTGGGAATCAGCAATTTTGGTCAGGAAGCTTTGGGAGATGTTGTTTACTATAGTTGGCCTGAAGTTGGAGCAAAACTGAACAAGATGAGTTTGGTGCTTTGGAAAGTATGGAAGCCGCTCATGAACTCTATTCCCCTCTGTCAGGAGAAGTAACTGAAATTAATGAAGCTCCAGTAGAAAACCCAGGACTCGTCAACAGATCTTGTCACAAAGATGGTTGGCTGATCAAGATGGCACTGACTAACCCTTCAGAACTAGATGAACCAATGCGTGAAGAAGCATGTGAGAGATACCTAAAATCTACTGAGGAGTGAAAACGAAGCCCCTAAATAAAGTATGAAACAACTTGATCTAGCACAGTTGTCTTAAGTTAGTGGTGGATAGGAGATAACAATTTTTAGTAATAAAAGTGGAAAAAGAAGCTACTTACAATGCTCCTTGAAGAAAATAGCCCTTAACTTTCTAATGATTGCAGATAAACATAATATGCACTGTTTTTTCAACGGCCCTATGATTTTCAGGCTAGGCTACAGTTATAACATTCAGAATTCCTGAAATTATCTTTGGTAAAATCTGGTTATAAAATTATGTATAGCAAAGATAACTTTGTTATTTTAAGCCTTATATAATATTGTAACTTTTGAAATACTTAATGACCTTTTTGTTGGAAATAACCAGGGAGGAGAAAAGTTTTTGTTAGATGTACAGTGTCAGATGATAAAGAAAACTGTTAATTTTACAATATACTGCATTTGCTGGAGCTATTTTTATACAGAGAAGCAACAGCCTTGTAGAAAACAACAGTTTAATAATAAAACATTCAATTTCATTTTAAAAAGTTTAATATTCAAGAATAGGCACAAATTCAACATTATTTCTATACCTGTGTCTGTCTTCAAAAAACTGGTACTCGACTCTTGCTTCCCCTTTTGGTTGAGCTGATAGGAGAGCATCCACCTTCATTACCAAGTCACTTGCCCTGAAAGACATAGTTGGTAAAGATTTAGCATCTCTTTAAACGGAAGGTTTTTCCAATTATTGCCATAATATAATATAATCAGCCGAAGTACTGAATGCCAACAAGATGGTTTGAGGAAAGTATGAACTTTGTACCAACAGGCATGAGAAAAAGTACTGATTCTGAGAATGATTAGTTTTGTAACTTTGGGAAAGGTACTGACTTTTTGCTATGTGAATTGAAGGTGATGCCTAATTTGCATGGCTCTTGTAAATATTGTACTGCCTAAACACACAAAGGATCTACCTCTGGGTCTGGCCCATAAGAGACTGGCAGTCAGTGTTATTTACATTCTCTCTCACCCTCTTGTTTTATTTTAATCCTCGCTAGAGGATACGCTTTTCATTGATTCCAGAGAGGCAGAGGGAGAAAGAGAGAGAGAAATGACGATTGGTTGTTTCCTGAGTACACTTCAGCTGGGGATCGAACCCGCAACCCAGGTATGTGCTTTGATGGAATCGAACTCACGACCCTTCAGTTCACAGGATGATGCTCACTCCAAACAACTGAGCCACCCAGCCAGGGCTCTCACCCTCTTCTTAATAACTTTAGTACTTTTTATGATTATCAGAGTAACGATTCACTGGAAAAATGGGGAAAAACTATAGACAAAAATGAGATACAAACAATACCATTATCAAAAAATAATCACTAAACATTTTGGTTCATAATTCTTGTATATTTTTAAATAAATATATATACACAAAAATGGGATTATATTACCTGGTAACTTGTTTTTTCACTTAACAATACATTATAAGCATCTTTTTGTTGATAAATATAAGAGCATATTATCAATAACTACATAATATTATATTTAGGGGTACATCATAATCTATTAAACCAATCAGCTATCGAACATTTGGTTGTTTCCTATTTCACTATTACAATCAACACTCTGGTAAACAACCAAGAAAAGCATTTCTGCTTTTTCTACCCATTCTAAAGTTGGTTTCTAACCAAGGAAGGTCTTGAACTAAGTCATGACATTTAAAAAGTGCTTGTAATCTGTTGAACTAAGAATTAAATCCTAAGAATTCTAAAAGAGCACTTGTGAGTACATCTGAACTAGAATCAAGCCTGTATATTTTCTTATTGAACCAAACAACTATAGCAAATGACATCTTTTGGTTCTTCTCAATACTGCCTCTGAATACATAAAGTATAGGCCACTTGTTTCCTGTGATGTGTCAACATAGTCACAAAACATGTCAAGGGACACTTAGTTCTGTGAACTGGGCTAAGCGGGCCATCAGGAAACTTCATAAAGGCTCACAACAGGGCACCACAATCACAGAGCCCCCCGCTGAGCTTCAGAAAGCTGAGGTCAGCCTCGTAGCTGCAGGTCTGGGTCATGAATGAAAGCTGTGGCTGTAATGAGGGAAGGGGGTGCTCCAAGGTGGAGCAGCCCTGGCATCAGTGAAAAGGCCTAGGCAGGCAAGGTAATTCTGAGAAGCTGAATAGCTTTAGAATCAATCATTTGACAGTCCTATAACTACCTTATTTCTCTAAATTCACCCAGGACAGACCCAGAACCACCTCTGGTTGATGAAAGGCAAGACTTCTGTGCAATTTGGCAATTATATACTAGTCCACAAAGACTCCAAGAGGCTACTCCCCAAACCTCACAGAAAGAGGGAGTGATCATGGGCACACACCACACCAAGCCCATGCCCATGCCCATGCCCATGGCATGGTGGCTTCAGGTCAGGGCACCTACTGGCCTGCACCAGGGAAGTGTTTCATAGGCTGGAACAAGGGGAACTGCTTAGGAGTCACTGAGGTAAGCGGCAACCTCTTATCTGTAAGAAATAAAGATTCCTTGCCATATCACTCAAGACTTGACAAAGAGACTCCTTTGGCAGCTGTTGAAGTCAACACTTCACTAAGATGTGTATCTTGAACTCTGCAGAATGATGGTACATGAAAAAGATGAATAAAAGCCTAGAACTTGTAACTGTTACATCCTCTGCTATACCACAAAGAGCACCGCCAAAAGGGTGGAAGGCAGACCACACAGTGCAAGAGAATGCCGTACATGGTGTATGTGTGAAGGATTGCTACCAAGAATATATGAAGAACCCCTACAAATCAACAACAAAATAAACAATTAAAATGAGCAAAAGACTTGGATAGATATTTTTTCAAAGATATACACACATGACCGATAAGCACATGAACAGATGCTCAGTATCACTAATCATTAGGGAATTACATATCAAACCACAGAGAGACCACTCTTATGCCCATTATAATGGGTATTATTAAAAAAACAGAAAATAATAAGTGTTGCTGAGGATGTGGAGAAATTGGAATCCTTCTGCATTACTGCTGAGAAATAAAATGGTACAGCCTGCGACAACACTGACAGGAGGGCTTGAAACGTGGAAGAGACCGGCCCACACCCATGGGTGGCACTTTAAAAATCGAAAGGGATACCTTGGCTGCAGAGGTGCCCCCTGAGGAGCAAGGGGGCACAGCCCCACACCAAGCCTCCCAGCCTAGGGTTCCAGTGCCAGGAACAGAAGTCCCTACAACTTTTAGCTGTAAAAACAAGGGGGATTGAGGCTAAGTGACACGGAGGCTGCTGGAGTCCCAGGCTTTCCTCTTAAAAGGCCCGCACACGGACTTACTCGGACTCACTCCCACTGAGCTCCATCACTGGGGCAGCAGCTTGACAGGCACCAGGGACATACAGTGAGGAACTGAACTGTCTAGTATCAGGGCGAGAGCTGGAGGGGGAGCTTTCTCCCAGACAGAAGTGCTGGCAGAGACCATTACTCCTCTGCTGAGCCCCCAATACACCACAGAGATGGCAGGCAGGAGCCATATCTGAGTCTCTGTCAACCTGGCTAACGCTGTTCACCCAATCTTGATTCCCTGAGAGCCTGCCCCACCCAACGTATACACCCACCCAAGCCATTTCCAATGTCTTTTCCATACAAACAGCCATCTAAGTTCATGCTGCAGAACTCTCTAAATTTTTTTAAAGCTTAACAAACTCCAAACGAGCAGCACCTGGCCTAGGCATACTCTGCACATTTTGCTGAGTGGCTCTAAGCCCAGCACTAGCAGCAGCTGCCCGAGGTTTGCAGCTTGGGTTTCTCTTAGGCTACTCCAAACCCAGCACAAGTAGCAGCCATCTGCAGATTGCTTTGTAGATCACGCCGGGTGGCCCTGGGCAGGATACAGTCAGCAACTGATTTGGCCTGCACCACCAGGTTGGCCCCAGAGCCAGCACCAGTAGTGGTCAGCTTCAGACAATGCAAGTTCACCACCCAAATACTACCATGAGCAACACATTAAAGGGAAAACTCATCAGGCATCAGGGCCCCCACTGAAGTGAGTTCTGTGCCATCAGGTCAGTCCACACAAAGCAGCTCCCCAATATGGTTACAACTAGTCCCCGCAGCCAATCAGCCTGGGGATAATTCCCTCCCACTGACCTGTCAAAAGCAATCAAGATTCCACTACAACAAGAGGATGCTCACAGTCCACACAGGGGAAGCACCTGGAGCGCCCAGTGCAGTTGATCAGGGAGGCTCCACCACTGGGCCCTACAGGATTACTACCACATTAGCAACTCTACCAAGACCGGGAGATATAGCAGCTCTGCCTAATACAAAGAAACAAACAGAGACACATCCAAAATAAGGAGAGAAAGAAAGATGTCCCAAATGAAACAAAAGAACAATGCTCCAGAAAAAAAACTAAAAAAATGGAGAGAAGCAATCTACCAGATGCAGAGTTCAAAACACAGGCTATAAGGATGTTCAGTGATCTCAGTGAGAACTTCAACAAAGAGATAGGAAACAGAAAAATGGAGGTAGAAATCATAATAAATAATCAGTCAGAAGTGAAAAATAAAATAATTGAAATGAGGAATACACTACAGGGAATCAATAGTAGATAAAGCAGAGGATCAAAATCAGCAATCAGAAAGAAAAGGAAGCAGAAAACACCTAATCTGAATCGAAAATAAATAAATAAAAATAATAGTTTAAGGGACCTCTGGGTCAACATCAAGCATGCAAACATTTGCATCATATGGGTACAAGAAGGAAAAGAGAGAAAGCAAGGAAATGAAAACCTATTTAAAGAAATAATGACTGAAAACTTTCCTAACCTAAAAGAAAAAGACACACAAGTCCAGGAAGCACAGAGTCCCAAACAAGATGAACCCAAAGAGGCCCACAGCAAGATACATAATTAAAATGCCAAAGGTTAAAGACAAAACGAGAATCTTAAAAGCAAAAAGAGAAAAGCATAAGCACCCATAAGACTATCAGCTGATTTCTCAACAGAAACGTTGCAGGCCAGAAGGGATTGGCATAAAATATTCAAAGTGATGAAAAGCAGGGACCTACAACCAACATTACTCTACTCAGCAAAGCTATCATTTCTAATTAAAGGACAGATAAAGAGCTCCTCAGCCAAGAAAAAACTAAAGGAGTTTATCACCCCCAAACCAGTATTATAAGAAATATTAAGAGGAAATAAGAAAAATATAAATATATATAATAAAATGAAAGTAACTACATATCTATCTATCAATAATCACCTTAATATAAATGAAATAATTACTCCAAAAGACAGAGGGTGATTGAATAGATACGAAAACAAGACCCATACATATGCTGTCAACAAGAGACCTACCTCAGATCAAAAGGCACACAGAGAATGAAAGTAAGAAGATATATTTCATGGAAATGGAAATTTTAAAAGCTGGGGCAGCAATACATATATCAGACAAAACAGATTCTAATACAAAGGCTATAATAAATTATGAGACAAAGGAGGACACTACATACTGATAAAGGGAGCAATCCAACATGAGCACTGGTAAACATTTATGCACCCAACACAGAAGCATCTAAACATATAAAATACATCTTGATGGACATAAAGGGAGAGACTGATAGTAGGGGATTTACACCCCATTGATATCAATGGACAGATCT